AGAACAGTGGTACGTATATAGTTGTTCAAAGTTTAAGTTGCTGCAGCTTTTCAAACAGACACTTTAGTGGTAAGAACCACATTTTAAAAATACAGATACCTTTTACTTATCAATTCCATTATACTGAAATATCTTTATGAAATAGATACATCTGTTTTTCTTAGTATTGCTTAAAACAGCAGTGTATTTAGAAGAATTCATAGATTTTATGAACAAATTTCGGTGCATCCATAGGATGGAATAATAAGTAACGATTGAGGGCGTCAGTAGATACAGAGATACATTGACATGCCACGATGTACTTTGCTATATCAAGTGAGAAAAAAATCAGTTTGTTACACATATACACAAATATAATCTGCTCTTGTGTTAGCTGAAAATATGTAGAAAATATAATCAAACTTATTTCTGGGGATTTGTAAGTGAAGTTTTTCCCTTTCTCTTATCTGTGATTTCTGCAATGAACATCTGAAGTTTAGTTAAGGTTCATTAGTAATGAAATAATCCTTGGAAAGAGAAGGAATATGCTGCTTGCATAGATACAACTAATTTCTCACATTCTATTTATTTTTATTTCTGTGGATGACTGTCTTCTGTGAACTTTTATCCTCTTCAGATGTAGAGGGATTCTGTTTACCTGTTCCTGTAGATTTTATTGTATATACATTTTATTATGTAATTATCTTTTCATTATATATAGGTTAACATGTGTAAAAAGTATGACTCATTTTAGTTGAGTTATATACTTATAAAAATTAAAATAGCAAATATAAATGATTATTACTGTTGCAAATGTATTCTCCTACTCTACAGCAGTTTTCTTTAAAAATATTGAACTCCCAAGCTGCGTTTATCCATTCTTTCAGTCCATTTAGTCATCAGACATAAGCCAGACACCTATTATGTGGCAGGCGTATTCTACTATCTCTCAGGATCCTTCCATCTTTGAAAACTTCATGTTTACCTGCTGGGCATGTGCAAGCTGAGAGATTTAAAGTTGGAGTATTAGGACTTAATCTCAA